TTCGAATCATTATTGATCTGTCCCCACACTCTCTATTAATAAAGTAGTCTACCCTAAGGCTACGAACACTAAATAACAAAACTACGACACCGCGACCGACGAATTGCCTTCTTAGGCCATAACTTGGAGAACCCGATCAACTCGATAAAGGGTCGAGGTAAAGAAGAGCAACATTATACTTAGAAATTATGCTTAGAAGTTAAAGGAAAATAATAGTACGACAACTAAAAATCAGTATCAAAACAAATGGGTATAATAGTAATTTATTTCTTTTAAAATAAATATGTAATGGTACATATTTTATAGATCATATAGGAATTTCAATTTTTTCATATAGAATTATTATACCATATTATATAGTCATATTTACATCTTCGGAAACAGCAAAAGTGTGACTATATAGAGATCAAATTTCATAACTGGGATTGTATTGGGGGGGGGGGGGGGGGGGACTGTATAGAGGTACGACTATATATTCTTTCGAAGTAATTAAATTTATTGAACAAGGAAAGCTGTGATTTCTAGCAAAATTAGTAAATATTACCTTGTCAAGTTTCATGTGGATAATAAATAGTATGCAGCAAATTTCACTTTTGCATAAAACATCATTACTTGTGATTTGAAATAGCCAGATTTCGGTTTCATATGTTCATTGGCTTTTATATTTCTGGACAAATATACGTTTTTTTACTGTGATAAATGCTAAATATAAAAAAGACTAAATACGCATCTATCTGACAATTCTTTAAGGTACAAAAAACTTGCCAAAACATTGTTCATAATCCTTTTTTTTTATAAATATTACTATCAAATAAGACATTTATAATTATATAGAAGAAATAGAAATAAATCAGCATTGCTTTACTCGCCTATTTCCATACTTTAATAGAAAGAATACCCGCAATAATTGCCATAAGCCCACCAAACCTTAGCACAAAACCGATAGCATCGCCTTTTGTAGTTGGTGTAGTTGGCAATATTTTAATGTCACTATTATTTTCCTCCCCCATATCTAATATGTCTCCTGCACCCGATGATGGTTCTAATATAGCAAACACTAGACTACTAAATAAGGTTACTAGGAATTGCGGGATCACTATATAGATGTTTTGAATACCCAACAGGATTCCGGCGTCAATTGAAGACGACGGTGGTGGCGAAGACGAAGATTTGCTAGAACTCGGGTTTAATAATTCGACATCATCACCTTCGTCTGTATTAATCGCAGTTGTAGTATTATTAGTGTCGACTAGACGATAAGCCACCTGATCCGACTCTGTTGCATTATCATCATTATCGTGAACTCGTGGAATCAACGTATGAGGTATGTCATTGGTGTTACTAATCGCATTTCGAGTTTCTCTAGAGATAAATTCGGCCAAGATCGAGAATGGCGCCCATGCAGAAACAGCCCACGCTATTCCCAGTATCCCGAATAAAAAAGTCGCTTGAGATACCGTAGTCACAAACCACGTTGATAGCATAGCAAATGCCATTATGAAATTCGATATAGTCCATAGTTTCGGCAACGTGAGACCTGGTAATGGCAATCTAAAATAACTCCTCCATGATAAGTTCGACGCATTGTACATTATCTCAGAACCGGACGGGCTCACCACAAACGGCAAAACAAATGATGACACTAAATTCACAAGCGAGTGTACCAAAAGTGCATAAGACCCAGAACGCGTAGCATTTCCCACCGGATCTTGACTATTTTCCAATGGAAGTGAATTATCCGCTGCATGTGATTTTTTATATAGCTCAGCGACCCAAGTTGTCGAGTAAAATAAGAATGGGAACCAGCCGATCCATGCAAATAATAGCACGTTGCATATCCTTTGTGCTGGGGTTGGAAGGTACCGGATCGATCTTACTATAGATGCGAGTGTTTCAAAGGTTGAAACAAAGACATTTTTCACATGCTGGCTCTTCTTACTATATATGACAATAAACATTCACGCCAACTTTTTCAATTTCTTTTTTTGTATTGTAGTAGATAGACTAAATATTAAAATTGCAAACCTGTGATAAACCACCTCATCAACCGAATACCAAGTAATTATATTACATGCAATAAGAATTAATGAAGCGAGAACACACATTACTTTTAGTTGTGTATCACCAAAGAATGGAAATATCGCTACCAAATCGACAAAACCCCTTTTTTCCGTAAAATGAAGAAAATAAAGGCTTATTAATGGATTCATTGAATTGCGTAATTAATTACTCTTTTTCCTTACATGAAATATCCAACCACACTCCCAATTCCACTCATTCTTCCGGCCCACGCTGTGCCAGCTTCTTGTTGTGATGGTGGCAAACTATCCACAATTAATGCACGAACGCAAGCTTGAACTTTTATATGTCACGATAAATAATTAACTTTTCAATTGTCATGAACTGCATGACTTAATAAAAAAATTAATAATCGACAATACCTGCGTTAATGGCAAAATCTAACATGTATATAGAAATGACAGCCACCCATACAGTCAAAGCAACACTCTGGAATTTTTCAAATTTTTAGTATGTTCAATTTTTGCAAACCCCCGAAAAAAATCTAAAAAAAGAAACAGAAAATTCTTACAAAACTATTTTTTCCAAAAATTGCAGTCACAATTTCTATAGTCCACCCGATAAACATAAATGAGAAAATGACGGCAATACTGCCGCCTAGTATAAATGGCCGCCGTCGACCGTATATCGAGGTGCAATTATCCGAGAGGATACCTACTATTGGTTGCATTATTAAACCTTGATTGTTTGAAAAATATAATATTTATCATTAATATCATTGATGTTAATCCAAGTCTTCATATCAAAGATATTGTTATTTGCGAGTTATCTAATAATAAAAGATACCTGATAGCGGCCCGGCTATCCAAACCAAAGAAGTAAATGATTTCGAAAGCCCCAAGGATAACAGGTATGGTGTTCCTAATGGTGTTTCATAGAGAATTAGTAAGCACATATTTAGGAAGTAGAATAGAGCAACAACAAAAAATGTATAAAATTTACCAAAAGCTAATTCCACGGACCCTTAGAATAGAATTAAGTTAGTGATGACTACTCAACACAATTTTATAACTTGTGCAAATATATTTAATAGACTTACATGTAAACGACACTCTATCCACGATCAAAAGAAAATATTTGATCATTAATTTTATTTGCATATTATAAACCAAAAAATATTTCACATGCATAAAAATCACAGAAAGAAATCAAAACAAATAAACTACGGTTTTGTTCATACAACATTTCCTCACTTTCGAAGAGATATAAGCACCATTAAAACCTTTGGTAGCCGAATAGTCAAAGTATGTATGTATGTATGTATGTATGTATGTATGTATGTATGTATGAAGGTAGAGAGATCCGTAGCACATCTCAAATATGAACTCACCCAACCATAAAAGTTGTTAATAAAATTATTTGAATCGTTTTATTCTTGCCTCTTATTGAGGCGATATTGCTCTCAACCTGTGAGTTTGATAAAGTTGTTAAAGATTTGTTATTGACATTGTGAAGACGAGTGGTGCTGTCTCCATTGGTGAGATTCACATCAAAGTTATCTTCAATTTCTATAGAGTTGGTTATGTCCCTTTCTGAAATAGAAGAGGTCGATGACCGTGGCGAAATAGTAGTCGGCATTGCAGAAGTTGTTTGTTCTATGAAACATCATAATGGCAATTCAACGTCTAAAAGATCTACGAGCTAACTAATGTTAGTGTATGCAATGTCTGCGTGTGAATGATGTAACATTGATAAATCAAATTGGGAAACAATTTAATGATAAAACTTTCCATTTGCATATTTCAATTTCACTTTACATGGACGAAATACAACTACAATCATCAATAACTAATATTGAAGATGGAGATTCCGGAGGAATTATTTACACATTTTTCGTGTTCATCTTCGTCACTTTACCGAGTTGGTTTTTCTTCTTGGTTTCCTTCGTGACTATAACCTTACCCACTTGGATATTCACTCTACTCTCATGGTCTTTCACGTTGCAACTAAGCTTCACCTCACTACTTTTACTATTTGGAGCATTCTCTATAATAGCTTACACAATTATTCGATACCGCATCTTAACAATATATTCGCGACTTCCAAAGGAAGCGCCTCAAACTACAGGTGCCTCATTTGATTTACATCCGGGCGTAGTCGACGATAAAGAGAAAATATTAAAGAATTATCCCGATGAACTGCTGAGTAGATTTTTGGAGGCGATTAAAGTTTTTGGGTATTTGGAGAAACCAGTATTTCATGAATTGGCTAGAAATTTGCAGACTAAACGTTTGGTGGCAGGTGATACGCTTGATCTGGAAAAGGAAAGATCTTTTTATATTGTCGTGGATGGTTACGTACAAGTATTTGTGAAAACGATAAATGAGGGAGATATCGCGTTTGATTCATTTGAAGGTGATGATCGCGGATTTCAATTGCTAAATGAAGTTGGTGAAGGAGGAACACTATCTAGTCTTTTCACGATATTATCGTTATTCACTGATGATATTGAACTTCGATACGATGAAAACGAATCGGATCTATCGAGTAATAAAGGAAAAGAATCGGAAGACAACGAATCTAGTCGTACACTTACTGATGACTGGTCGACAATATTTTCAGCTCCGGATGCTAATTCCGACAATAATACTGACGAATCGCGTAAAGGAATAAAGAAAAATGTTTCGAACGGATCAAACAGCGATGCACCATCAAATCGCACAAGTTGGTCCAATAATGGTAATAGAAGGCCTAAACTTGCGCAAAAACTTTCTTTAAAAGAAAACCTCGTCACAACTTCTGTCCACCCAAATATTGTTGTGCGTGCCACCGTCGATACAACCTTGGCAGTAATTCCTGCTGAAGCATTTCATCGATTGACAGAAAAATTTCCTAAATCGGTTGCTCATATTATGCAAGTGATCTTAACGAGATTCCAACGTGTCACTTTTTGGACTGGGTATAAATATCTTGGCCTTACAAAGGATTTGCTTAGGACCGAAAAGCTAATGAATGAGATGGCAAGTTACGGACTTCCATCTAATTTCTTTAAACCAGGTAGTATGGAACGTCTACGTCGAAGGTTTGTTGGCGGTGTAAAAACAAACGATGATCCTGAATTAAGTGATAGTGGACTATTATTTAAAAATAAAAAATCAAAAGGAGCTAACATTAGACCTGGATACCACTTTGCACAGGAAACTAGCACTGCATCTAATCTCCCATTCACTGAGAATTCGAATAAATATGCCAATGATAAATATTTATCACCACCGATGCGAACTTATGTTCGTCCTTCTACAGGCTCTCCATTGGTTGGACGAGATTATGATGCTCAGGACGATATGTATTTACGTGAATCCGTGTTGGAATGTATTTCGAAAAGTATTGGTCTAATTCAACCGGCTCAAAAAAAGGCTAGTACTTTTGATCCAGGTTCTCGTCATAGCTCCCTTGATTCGAGCTCTGCCGGATATTCTCAAATTTCCGGATTCAACCCTATAAGTAGCGTGACATCGCTACTTGACATCCCAGATGATGAATCAGTCGCTGAGACTATCTCCTCAATTACAAGCGAATTTGATAATGACGTGGAAATATTATTTTATGCGAAAGGTGCTTCCCTTGTTAAAGAGGGTGAAAGAAATGTGGGGTTATTTTTCGTAATTGATGGACTTTTAGACGTCTCTGTTAGCTCAACTGAAAAAGATTTTTTAGGGAGTTCCTTCACAAATATTTCTTCCGTTAATCAGAATGGCAGTTCACACAAAAGAAAAGAATCTAATTCTAATGTGGTATCTAATACTGATAGAACTTTATTCATGATAAAACCTGGTGGTCTTGCGGGGTACCTGGCAGCATTGACCGGTTTTCCTTCATTTGTTAATATTAGAGCTAGCACAAATACTTATGTCGGATTTCTTTCAAAGAATTCACTGAATAGACTCATGGAAAAAAATCCAAATGTTTTACTGACTTTGGCTAAACGATTAATTAGCTTATTATCACCACTTGGTAAATTTCATTTAATAAGTAATATCGAGCTATAGTTACAATTTTCTGATTTTGCAATTTAATCTTATAGTTCTTCAAATTGATTTTGCTCTGGATTGGGTTCAGATTAATGCTGGTCAAGTATTATATTCTAAAGGCGATCCAAGTGATTCGATATATATTGTATTGAATGGACGTGTTCGAGCTATTAATGAACGTGAAAAAGGTGCTATTGATATTTTGGGTGAATATGGGCAAGGTCAAAGTGTCGGAGAACTAGAAGTTATGAGTACGTAATTTCCATATTTTACTAATTTGAGTTTATGAAGTATCATCGCTATTTTTCTTAATCAATTAATATCTCTATTATTTATAGTTGGATCTCCGCGTCCTTATACGCTCCATGCGATTCGTGACACAGAACTTGCCCGTATGCCAAGAACATTGTTTAATGCTCTTGCATCACGTCACCCTGAAATTACTTTGCAAATTTCCCGAATAATCGCTTCTCGTACTCGAGTACAGCAAGAACATGAATTCGATCATGGCAATACTATAGCAGAACTAGGCAAAAATAACATGAATCTTAAAACTGTTGGTATTCTTCCAGTAGATGGAAGTGTGCCAATTGACGAATTTGCAGAAAAATTAAAAAATGCATTAGCAAGAATAGATGCAAAGGCAACTCTGCTTAATCAAGCAACGGTTGTTTCTATCCTGGGAAGACATGCGTTCAGCAAAATTGGAAGATTAAAGTTAATCAGTTGGTTAGCCGAACAAGAAGAGAATGTCCAAATTGTTTTATACTTAGCTGATGGAGGCCCGAATTCTTCTTGGACTCAAACATGTATTCGCCAAGTAAGCACATCACTCAAATGAATTATTTTATTTATAGGTAATTAAAACATGTTAAAATTTTTTTCAGGCCGATTGTATTTTACTGGTTGGCCTCGGCGATGGTGATCCTGCGATTGGTGAGTATGAACATTTTCTAATAAATGCGAAAACAACAGCTCGTAAAGAATTAGTATTATTACATGCCGAAAGGCATTGTTCACCTGGTACGACGCGTCAATGGCTAAAAGTAAGAAATTTATCTTAAATTTTCAATGAAACTGATTGTTGTCTGTAACTTGTATTCAATCGATTTTTTATTTCTTGAAAAGAATCGTCTATGGATACACGCACATCATCATGTCCAAATGGCATTAGTTCAAAAGCCAACGATGTTGAGAGAACAATCCAGTCAAAATGCTTTAATGAATCTTCGCGATCATATATCAAAATATTATCCTAAACGAATTCAAAAAAGATCGCCTACTATATATACGGGTATTCGAAGCGATTTCTCCAGACTAGCACGACGTCTCTGTGGAAAATCGGTAGGACTTGTGCTTGGAGGCGGTGGGGCTCGTGGTATTGCACATATTGGTGTTATACGTGCTCTTGAAGAAGCAGGTATTCCCATTGATATGATAGGCGGGACTAGTATAGGGTCATTTGTTGGGGGACTATACGCACGTGATTCAGACAATGTAGCAATACTTGGAAGAGCTAAGGCGTTTTCGTCGAGGATGAGTAGTAAATGGAGGCAAGCTTTAGATTTAACATATCCGGTGACTGCCTGGTTTACAGGTAAATATTTGATGATTTGTTCGATCTACTTGGTATTTTTCTTATATAAGTTAATAATTTTTGTATCAAAGGACACGAGTTTAACCGTACAATATGGAAATCTTTCTTGGATACCCAAATTGAGGATTTTTGGCTTTCTTATTTTTGCATAACCACGAATATCACATGGTCAAGAATGGAAGTACATCAAAGTGGCTATGCATGGCGATATGTTCGAGCTTCCATGTCGTTGGCTTCATTTCTTCCACCACTTTGTGACAATGGACATTTATTAGTTGATGGTGGATACATGAATAATCTGCCGGTCAGTACTAAATTCAAAGTATATCGATTCATTAATGTGTTACTCTTGCTAAAGTACAAATGTAAATCGTTTTTATTCTAAAGGTAAGCGTAATGAAATCAATGGGTGCAAACACAATATTTGCTGTAGACGTAGCGAGCCATGACGACACATCACCAGTCTACTACGGTGATTCAATTTCCGGTTGGTGGGTTCTGTTAAATCGTTTTAATCCGTTCCGACGTGCACCAAAAATCCCCTCCATGGCCGATATACAATCACGACTTGCCTACGTGTCTAGTGTGAAAACGTTAGAAGATGCTAAAACAATACCCGGCTGCCTGTATATGCCGATGCCTGTTCAACAGTATGCCACGTTAGAGTTTTCAAAGTTCTCTGAGATTTTCGAAGTTGGATACAAAGCTGGTAAAGAAATGTTGAAAAATTTCAAAGAGGAAGGGAAGTTGAAATCGGTTTTGGATGAGAAGGCTGTTGGATTGAAGAGGGGGCGGATTAGAAGGCGAAATAGTATGTGAAATAGAAAAATAATAACTTAACATCTAGATTGAGGAAGGAAGCATGTAACAATGTAAAATATTTTTGGTGTATTATATATAGATAAGGGCTGTGACAGATATTAAGTAATATCATTTTGGGGGGGTGAGAGGGGATATTGACAAATCTTAATATATTATAATCACATGTTTTTGGAATATCTTACTTTGGGGGGAGGGGGGACACTCAATATTAAATGGATATTACGTAATATCTGTCACGGCCTTAAGTTATATTTAAATTAAATTGTTTTTTCAGACACATCTTCAAAGAAATAATCGCAAAAATTCCAAGTTCGACGGTCATTAGAGCATATAAAAATCTTTTAGACTCGGGTAAAGACTAGTCGGAATTATTATAGTGCTGACCGGCATTGCAAATCTACACGATGATATTATCACATCAATTTAATTATATAATTAATCATGTATTGATGGCGAAGAAAAATATGCGGATCATGTGATTTTTAAGAGGTAAATCACAACATATCTTCTGCTGTGATAATATTTTCTAAAGAATACTTGAAAATACAGATATTTGTAGATAATTATTATTACTTCAAGTTCATGTTAAGATAATTTTTCAAAAATAATCTTACAAGAAATTTGATAATAAGAATAATAATATGATAATAATATTAATAAATACAAAATTAAATATATTCAATCATTTTGACTGTTAATTATTTTATATCATTATTATTTTGAAAATTATTTTTATTATTTCTTCTTTGTTATTGATTTGAAAGATTAATTACTAATTATGATAATATTTAATAAGCTTTATTATAATATTATTTAATTTATTAATTTAATTATTATAAAATTGATAAGAATTTATTTAATCATATTAAAAAATATTAAAAATTTATTAATTTTTTATTAAAATTTTATTGAAACTCTATATAAATAAACTTATTTAAAAGTAATATATAAAATAACTTATTAAAATTATTTTTTTAAAAATTTTTAAATTTAAATTCAAATTTATAAGAGATAATATTAAGAAATAATTTTTATTTTTATATTAAAATAAAGTTCATAAATTATAATTTAGCATATATTTTCAGATTTTTTCTGAAAGAGTTATTTTAATTGTAAAAATTTTTATTAATTAAAAATAAAATTTAATTAGTAAAAATTTTTGCTTTACCTTTATAATTAGAATAACTCATTCAGAAAAAATCTAAAAAAATATATGTTAAATTATAATTTTTAAGCTTTATTTTAATATGAAAATAAAAATTATTTCTTAATAAAATTATAAAGTTTAATATAGAGTTATAAATTTTAATTTTTATTATATTTTATTAATAAAATTAACTTCTTGTATATAATATTTTTTATTATTTAAATGATAATTATATATTTTTAATTTATTAAATTTTATATTATTGTAATATAAACTTTTAGTAGAATATTAGTTAATTATATATTATTAGTCACTTTATATTATAAGATAAATAATTACTTATATTTTATTAAACATTAGCTTTAGAAAATTTTATTTGTAAATATTTTTAGAAGATTTCACAAATATAATGATCATGACAAAATTATCATAGCAAAATTAGCAAAATTATCATAGCAAAACTAACAATACTATCATAACAAAACTAATATTATAATACTAGTTAAAGTGATATTTAAATCATAGCAAAATTAGCATAAGTATTATAATAAAAATATTATTTGTATAATTTCTAAAATATATAAAAGTAATGTATCTTAGCTAATGAAATTAGACAGTTTATTAGTTAGTCAGTTAATTAGTTCAGATTAGTTAGTTAGTTAATTATTTAGTTTAAGTTCTATAAGTTTAGTTCTCAAGTCACATTTAAGTAGATTTTAATTTTAAAAAAATTCTAAAAAATCTCTCTTGTAGAATAGATCTTGATTAAGATCTATTATTTCATCTTATTAATAAATTAATTATTATATCTGTCTCAAAATTATATTTTGAAATTAGATTATATTCTAGCTAATCAAAATAAGAATACTATTATTACTTATTTTTAGATAGATTTTAAAGATAATAGTATTTATATTCTTGTTAATAAATCTTTTAAAGATTCTTCTAATATTATTATAAGCATATAATCACTTTTATCATGTGCTTTTGTAATATTAGGATTAATATATGTCTCTCATATCAAATTTACATCAAAAAGATAATAACTTTTTAGTATTCTCTCTGTGAATTAATAATTTTAAAGAGTTGTTAATCCAATTCAGATCTAAATAAAGAATTTTCTATAAATTAAAATTAAAATCAGTAGAGAATCAAAAGTAACTAAAGAAATAATTTTATAACATATCAAAGTGGATTCAATTAGAAAAATCAAAATAGAAAGAGAAAGACTTTTCACTTAACTATTTACTAAATTACATCTTGAAGATTATACTAATTCTAATCATTAAGTCATCTAGAAAAAGTTTTTCTATTTTTATCAAGAAGTAATATATAGTAAAATTTAAATTAAGACAAGAAAAGATTTTGCAATCTTAGTAAAAGTTGAAACTGATTTATCAATAGAATAAGTATAAATATATCTCTATAACAAGAAATATTTGAATTCAAAGATAAAAAAAGTAAATATTTAATAGAACAAAAACAAAAAAAATAATAAAACTTACTTGTAGAAATACCTAATTCAAGTTAATCAAATCAAATAAAGAATTATTAGATATCTTAAATAATTTGAAAAATATAATTCAGATATTCTTGAATAAATATTAATATAGTTATCATTCAAAAAATATTTAAAAACATAATTAACTACTCAAGATATATCTATTACATCAATGCTTATTTTATTAATATCACTTAAAAAAAAAGAAAAATAAGAAAAATAAGATATCATCTTTATTAACTGATAATAAATTTGAAGATTTGATAAATAAAATTAGCATATTTATTATAGCTTTAGAAAGATTAAAAAAAGTTAATTATATCAAAATTATAGAATTTTATGATAATATTCAAGATTTAATTAGTTAGCTTCAAGACTTAAAAATATTTGCATTACTAATAATATTAGTAATAAAAGAAAAATTCAAATAATAAAAGCTTATCTAAAAGATTTAGTTATTATATAATTTACTAATAAAAAGTTATATAATTTAGAATGACCAGGAATCTAAGAATACAATAATGAAACTAATCAAAATATAAAAAAAACTTTATTTATATATCAATTTAAAAAGCATTTTAGAAATTATGATTAATTCTATGAATAGCAATAATAGTTAAAATAAAAAAAATAATTACCTAATAAAAATATAAAATAATATATTATAGCTATTAGAGAATTGATTAAAAGAGTAAATCTAATCAACATCTATCCAAATTACTTATGTATATTTTACTTTATAGATAAACTTAGATCAGAAATTAAGTTCTTTGTAAATCCAACTCACTTTGCAATATTAGAAGAAATAATTAATATAACAATAGCATATAGTTCTAATTTTTAATAATACTATATTATATTAAATAGTTTATCTTTCTTGTTAATATCATCGTGTAGATTTGCAATGCCGGTCAGCACTATAATAATTCCGACTAGTC